GTTAGTTAGTGGCTGGCTAGCTGGAAGCATGGAGGAGAGCCTAGGGAAAGGGGCTGGAGTTTAGGGGCCCAGTCTCCCCCATCTCAAGGGGGCCTGAGGCATCCTAGCCCAGCTCTGTGACCAGATTCCATCTGTGCTGTGCTGTATCCTGGAGAGGCAATAAACTTCCTCTATGCCACCGGCTGGTGCAGTCTGTTTGGGCCATTTCGGGGTGCAGGAGACGGGGGACCCCCAACGCGCCGTCACAAGGTTCTTTCGGCTCTTTCTTCCTATACAATTCCTCGTGGGTGACCTTCTGCATCCATCCTATTCTCAGGTTCCACAGCCATTCAGCAACGGTAACGCTGTAGTACCACTGACGTAGTGAGACTGATAAAACCAACTATCCCTAATCGACTCTGTGCTGAAGCGAATCCGTGATCCTGTTCATCCACGGCCCTGTGAGTTGGCAGACATTGCTCACTTCAGCCGGCTTGCACTTGCGGGGCATGGCGCAGAAAGACGAGGGAAAGGCAAGAGACGCTCCCGGGTTTAAGGGTGGCGGTGCATCGGCGGCTTTGAACAGGCTGCGGATTCAGGGACAGCAAAATACAACTCCGAAAGGAAACTGGCGTCTGACAGATGCGGGCACTGCCGGGCGGGCTGCTGCGCCGGGAGGCCTGGACGCCCTAAAGAAAAAGAGGAGGTCCCTTAAGCACTGGATTGCTCACAGATCCATAGAATCATAGAACACTAGGACTGGAAGGGACCTCGAGAGGCCATCGAGTCCAGTCCCCCGCCCTCATGGCAGGACCAAGCACTGAGGACCAAGGACCAAGACTGGACCTAGGGCTCTGCGCAGGGCGTTAACGGACCCTGTGGCTTTTTCCCCAGGCTTGCCCGGCTTCTCCTGAATGAATTTCTGGGCCAAACTGGGGCGGATGCCTTGTCTGAGGGACAGCCGACAACCGCGTCTCCCTGCCATGGCCTTGGAAAGAGAGAAGCCAGGCCAAGAGTTCCTGGAGAAGGTCAGGACCCCTGGCTGGGATGGAGAGTCTGTGCCATTGACATGACACCCTGCAGGCTTGGTTCTCAGCTGGACGTTCTCCTACCACAACATCTTCAGCATCACCGACGTCCTCTGCACCAGGGCTTCTGAACTTTGGAAGCCCCAGGGGCTACAGTGCCGAGGGCCGCAGCTTCAGTGTGGTGGCAGAGACATGCAAATATACACGCAAATATATACAAATAGCTTCTTTCGCACGGGCGGGCATGAATACAAAAATGAAGGCAAGTCTACACCCCACGCTGGCCCCATTGCAGTCCGTTCTGCTGCTATTAACATGCAACATTCACCCGATTTCCACACTCTGGTGGCACTTTGAATGCGCAGACAGTCCAGGAAGTGAACGACTGAAATGCATCTCAACAGAAGACCGTTCCATGGACTCGCCGTTGTGAAGCGTGTCCCTAGTGGCGGCCACGTGCAAAGGATCCCAGCCGCGGGTTGAGTAACCCTACTCTACGAGGAGACAAGCCTGGGGGAGGACTAGCTTTTAATGCACCCGCTTCTGGTGGTGAGCGATGCACGCATCCAAGTGCCAGAGAGCTCATCGTCAGGTCTGGGGAACGTACTCAGAGCGTCCCCATTAAGGACAACGTGGCACCTGATCCAATGATGTTAGTGCACGTTTTGTCTCAAAAAGAGAATCATAGAATCACAGGTGTGGAAGGGACCTTGAGAGGCATCACGTCCAGTCCCCGGCCCTCCTGGCAGGACCCAGCACTGTCTAGCCCATCCCTGACAGGTCTAACGATGGATTAATCTCCCGTCTCTTTTAACGGACGCATAACTGTCAATTTCTTCCTGTGCCAGGACAAACTGCCTTGTTTGTTTTCATAGAATCCTAGATCTGGAAGGGGCCTCGCGAGGTCATCAAGTCCAGCCCCCTGCCCTCAAAGCGGGACCAAGCACCATCTAGAATAGAAACTCCTGCATCCTGACCATTGGGACGGTAGCACCAAAGCACCTGCGGAGACCAGAGCCCTGTTGTGTGGGTGCGGTGCAGCCCTGGAGCCAGGAAAGTCCACGCGTGGATAGGGGATGTGACTTGCCTGGAGTCACCCAGCTGCTCAGTGGCAAAGCTTGGGAGAGACCCGGGTCTCTTGTTTCCCCGTCCTGTCGCCCGTGCGAGCGGGAAGTCGCACTGTGACGTAGTGGGGGTACTTGCTGGGCTGGGGTGACCCCTGCTGTCTGGAGCAAGACCCAGCAGGGAAAGCCTCGCTAGGCAGAGGTAATGCCAAACTTGTTGAACCAGTGGCCAGACACCCCCCATGGAGAGGAACAAAGGGAGGTGGATGCTGCCCTGGCTAGGGGGCAGGGCTGGAAGAGGGTTAGTTAGTTCCTGTCTGGAAGGCAGGGAATAAGGAGCTGGGGAGGGGGCTGGGACTCCCCTATCTCAAGGGGGGGCACTGAGGCCTCTTAGCCCCAGTTCCTGTAACCAGATTACATCTGTGCTGCGCTGTGCTGGAGGAGCAATAAACCACCCTCAATTCCACTGGCTGGTGCAGTCTGTTTGTGCCATTTCGGGGTGCAGGAGACGGGGAACCCCCAACGCGCCGTCACACTGGTGTCAGAAGCGGGATCCACTGCACCCCGTGGATGGAGCTCCCAGCGGCAAGCTACAAGGCGCCGTAGAAGCAAGAGCCC